TGCCCCTCAGATGTTACAATGTGCCCCACCTACGGGGCATGTTGTTCAATTTAACTTCCATTCTTTTGGGGTAAATAAAGAAAAAAGTATAGGCTACACAGTAATTATGAAACAAAACCACATATTTGTAATAGACAAGTCTAAAATTAATGTGGAAAAAAAATTTACTCTGAACCATGTGGATTTACACAAACCGAGAAAGTCAAAAAGTGGCCCGCTCACCGCCTACTGGCTGGAATTTCAGAACCTGTTCAGGCGTTGCTGCAGAGACATTTTACAAGTTCAGAGTCAACAACTGAGACCGACTTTTGGTATTTACTTGAATATTTCAAGTCGTTTTTCTAGCCTAGAATTATTATATTTTAAATCTCAAAAGAGTTGCCCCTCAGGAAAATGCAAGAATGTGGCTTGTAGTGCTTCTGCTTGTCGGAGTTCATCTTGCTTATGCTGGTGAGTAAATTAGGCTATGTTACTTTTACCGTTTTACAGTAGTGCCAGTATAAGCTTTCTTATTCGTTTTTGTTTGTTTGACTGTTTGGTTGGTAGTTTTTAAAACATTTTTTTAAGTTGTGCTACTGTATGATATTGATATTATTTTATTTTAAAACAGATTATATGAAGAGCCACAGCCAGTTAAGAGTGTCGTGTTATTGACACTTTTCTCAGAAATATTTCTTTTGGCATGTTACACATTTTAATAGGCCCCTTTTCTTTATTCTTACAATATAGGCCTATACAAAATATATAGTGAATAATTTACATGTTAAGCAGAGCCTATTCATTATTATTTAGGTCTTTTCTTTTGAAGGCATAATTTATAATTTATGTATGAGAGAAAATCCCACAACAGCAGAATAAATCAAAATAACACATTTCTACCATTTAGAAGACCCAGTTCCTAAAAAACTTGAAGATTTTAACTCCAGTTTTTAAGGCCAATTTATGGCAAGGTCACAAAGCAACCTTATTCTTGCAAACAAAATAATTATTTCAGAGAAATAGACGAATTGAAGGTGTAGGCAGAATACAAATCATTATTTTTGCTCTCTTCATTTCAGTATTGAAGTTTTCGAATTATATTCTATCCGATAAATTAGTTTGAAATGAGATCTTGAAATTATGTACATAATGCATACAACACGTTCCATTTACTCCATTTATTTGTTTTCTGTCTCGTGTTATATATTGTAAGATTCTAATTAAAACAGTATATCTTGCAAAAGTCATTCCAATAAAATTTATTAATTTATTAAGTTAAATCATTTTTATCCAATAATGTTTTAAAAAATACATATTTTTATGTTTTTACCATTTATGACAAAATGTGCTTTATATATACAGTATATATATATAATGCTATATATCTGACTGCATCTACATGCAACATTGTGAATAGTGTGAATGTTGAAGAAGTTGAATATGAGCATGTCTTGTGAGACTAAAATTATGTTTTTCTCTGTTTGTATTTCTCTCTTCAGGAAAACACTCTCTGAGATACTTCTACGCTGGTGTGTCTGGAGTCATTGACTTCCCAGAGTTCACTGCAGTTGGTCTGGTTGATGACGAGCAGTTTATGTACTTTGACAGCAACATAAAGAAAGCTGTGCCAAAGACAGAGTGGATCAGACAGAATGAAGGAGCAGATTACTGGGACAGACAGACTCAGCCCCTGATTGGCAGCCATCAGACCTTCAAAAACAACATACAGGTCCTAAAGGAATGGTTCAACCAATCAGCAGGTAGGATTGTAACTACCTACAGACACACACACACACACACACACACACACAGCAAACATGATCATTTTTAATTTCCATTTTCTTATTTATGTGTGAATTTTTGCAGCATGCCGACATGGAGTGCCATTGTGCTTTGGGCGTACTGAGTTTGGGATCATTGGGATCATTGATTGTGCATGCTTAGTGATTTTAAAGCAGTTCAACTGCTGTTTTACAACAAGCAGCCTGATTTTTCTGGGTACAGGTATATTAAATAAAAATCAATACACATTATATTAATTTTGTATGAATCAATTTAGTTTCTCTAAAAAAGGTTTTTCTGATCCTCTTTATTGTCAACACTAAGAAAAAAAGATGTCAGGCCTTGTATTTGAGGAAAAGAAAACTTCAAAAACGTTCATGTATCTGAG